GCAATAATTCTGCAGACACTGACCAAGATGCTCTCAAACCAGCTAATGGATGTAGTGGCTTTGATAACATCAATTATCATGCACCAGATCCTGGACCTTGCCTATCCTCCGCCTCACTGACTGTTTGCCCTTAGCAGAACAACACCTTATTAGGTGTGGTAGTGTCACAATTAATGGTTTCATAATCTGGCTCTGTCATGGTAAACAAGTAATTCCTGGTTAGAAACCACATGCGAAATGTAAGCATTAGGGCAATTGCTGCTGTTAGCTATTGCTGTCTAATTAATCACCTACAATGTACAGCATGCACCAAGTGAATTAATTGTAATGATCTTTTGAAAAGGAAAACAGAAATACTCTATTATTTCTAAAAGTGTGACTTGAATGTGGTAATTTACCACACAGCCACACTCCATACCTAAGTGAGGCTGTATTTATTTCTTGTCTCATGCATCTGATCTAATTACTTTGTGGCAGTGGTATAAAAATCAGTTGGAGTGACTCACTTGAAAATTTATTTTGCTTCTTCTTAAAGTCTTGGCCAGCTTGACCTCAGCAGCCTTTACCAGTTTGAAAATGCAAGTTATAATCCTCTGTAGGGATTCAGCCAGGTGTCCACTACAGCATGAAATCTGTGATACAGCTTCCAGTCTTCACGCTGCAGAAGATTTAAGCCCCTCTGTCTTTGTTCCTGAGTGAGAAAGTGCATGAGGTCTTAATGTGGACAGGGAACACACTGAAAGGAGCAACATTTTCAATCTGAGCCTGCGTGGGTGCCACTGAGGAGCTGCACAGGTGAGAGACCAGAGGTGTCACCTAAGCAGCAGCACTCAAACTGCAACCCTTGAACAGCAGCTGCAGTGCTGCTGCTGCTCCCCTGCTGACATTCAGAGGTCACACTGCTGCTGGACGTCTGCTTTTGACCTAAATCCTCACTCTAAGGCCACTGTGCTGTTCCTGGAGAGGCTTTTGGTAGGACACATTGCTGCCCAGGGGGAGCAAGGCCAGCCCTGGCACCCTGTCCCAGCCAGGGACGCTTGCAGAGCACCTCCAAAACCACTATAAAAGTTCAAGCTGGCTGCCACAAAGAGACATTGCTGTGTGCTAAAACAAACTAAATCCAGCTAGTTGAGAGGAAATGAGGGGAAACCTACAGTCAGCCCTACTCAGGAGCTTGTCGGGTAACTCTGCTTTTTCCAGCCAGGGCTGAATGTGATCAAGTCATGTGGTGCAGCCACATGCCCTCACTGTGCCTGCAAATCAGGTACCTCCTCCTAAAGCCAACACTTAGACTATGGCAGTAGTTTCAGTAATACTTTCAATTCCATGAGCAGCCAAAACAAAAATAAATAGCGGCTTAATTTGCCTGCCTGCAAGGAGCTATCTAATATCCATCTCCCATTGCTGTACAGGAAAATAGCTGGTTTCTTTTAGGTGGTCATGGTTGTGGTGGTGGGAAAGACTCAACCACCTTTTATGCTAATTGGCACTAAAGTGTTTAGAAGTATTTATCAGTATTTAATTATTTAGAACTCTCCTAATGGCTTAAATATAATTTTGAAAAGTTATAAATATTTTCCACCTTGTCCTACTGAAGAGCTGCTTCTTGGAAGGCTTAAATGAAGATCTATTTACAGCTGCCTGCTAGGCACAAAATTACTTAGAGATGCTAATGCTCTGGTCCTTCAGATGGCCCCAACACAGACTGAGCTTGGCTTTCACAAACTGGACAAAGTTTGTCTTTGTTGTATTCATTTTATTGTGACAAAAGTCTTAAAGAGGATTATTATAGAGATCAAGGCATTAAAATATGTAACTAATCCCAGTTAAATTAATTGTTTTCATAATAACATGTACTGAGGGACATTTGTGTAGAGTAAGACCCTTTTAGACTGTTTTGGTAATGTAAGTGTGACTTACCATGCAAATTACATTTAAGATTAATTAGAAACAGTTGAAAGCCAAGTTGCTAGCAGAGAAAATGGGAACCTGATTCCAAGCCTCTGAAGGAATAATTATGTTAAATATTTCAAAATTACATCAGCAATTGCCATGTCAGTAGACAGAGGGGAATTTACATAAACTCATAATTTCTCTCCTCATGTTAGAATTCAGGACACTTGTTTTATTGGCTTGTAATCAGCTTAGATTTTTTTTCCTCCTAGTTTTCTTTTTCAAGCACTTAACTCCACACAGGTTATTTTGGTGTCATCAAATCATTCACCTCTTAAAAGAGAATTGTGTGCCATAATATTAAAAGAATAATTAAGTTTATTGGTGAGGATACACCTGAAGTTTTTATTTGGATTCTCATTTGCAGTAATGTCCTTATCCTGGTGTTTCAGTGGCAGGTTGTGGCACTGCTGTTACCACTGGTAAGAGTTTCAGGTGCAGGACAGGACAGCACTGTGGTTCTGACCTGTTTCTCACAATACTCTGCCATTAACTGGAATAGTCTCCTCTTTCCCTAAAAAGCTCTGTGCACAGAGTTGTAGATTGCATTTCAGTTGCGAGCTAGGGCTGCCAGCTCTCAATGTCATACTGCATTCACGTCAGCTTGTGGGGTGTTTTTAGAGCCCCCCTCCCAGTTATTCTCTGATTGTGTTGGCACCTCAGCTTTTGCTAAAACGTAAAAGATAAAAGGCAAAGGGAGTAAAATAAATCAACTAATATAGAGAAAGAAACATTACATCCCATACAACCTGGGTTAACTGCTGGAAGTCATAAAACATGCTTCCTCCAGCATCCAGGGACTAAGGGATCAGAGTGGCTTTAGTTTTTAGCACAAAGAGTCACAACAGACTCAGTGGTTGCTTGTGGAGCAGGAAACTAAAGCCATCCCTCAGCAGTGCCTAATGCTCCTGTCTGGCTGCACAGGAGCATTTATTTGTTGGATTTCCATACCTGTGACTGCCCACTGTAGTTGCTTTTGCCAACGCAAAAGCAGAAGCATAAAGCATATAGATTAGAGGTACACAGATCTAAGCGACCAGATTTTTCTAGGCAACCTCAGACAGGTGTGATTTATGCAATCTGAGCATCTTCTGATAAACTGATATTTACATATAGCCAAAGGATCTGGAACCTTACAGATTTCACAATATGTATATTTTCCCTGAGGAAAATATGCTTGTGTAAGTTAACAGATTCTAGCATTTGTATCTGATACATTAAATGGAGCTTAAATATTTAAAAATTCTGTGTTTTCTCTCTTCTGCTTGAAACTTACTTTTAATTTTCACTGTTTTATTCAAAAGGAAGGCATAGAAATAGCAACCGTGAGCTTGAAATCAGAGCTGTAACAGATTATAGACAAAATTTTGCAGAGTATTTCCAGTTACAGCTGGTTTTCAAATAACCCTTTTTGTTGTCATGTAGTTTTTTTTCCCCAACTTCAAGTCCCAGTGAATCGTTGTCAGTTTTAGCACTCAGCTGTATTAACAAGAAAGACAGAGAAAGAAAACAGCATTTTCCAGCCCAGGTAAGAGGAAGTTGCCAGTGGGGAGGTCAGAGTGAGTGCAGAAGTTCTTTTGCTTGTGTTTTGTGCGAGTATATCAAAGAGCAGAGCAGTGGCCAAGGTGGAAACTCATGTTTGAAACCTGTTTTCCACACTGGATAGCGCTGAGTCACTTCATTGCCCTCAGGCTTTGAGATGGAGAGAAGTATAACTGCAATTATAAGAAAAGACAAGGTTGATCATCATGCCAGGGCTTGTTCTCTTTTCAGGGCAGGTGCAGGGGACTCTGAATAATGACAATAACAGCTATATTAATGACCTCATCGAGCTCTGCTAAGTATAGGCATGTGCATATTTTCCCCCAGCAGTGCTGACTAGCAGTGAATAGAGATTTCTTCACCATCTCAGTGTCAGGTGGAGGGAAGGTTACAGAGCAGCAGTTGCTTTCTGGAACAAACACAGAATGAACAAGTAGCAAAATACTAACGTACTGTTGAAAGCTGAAATTAGATATACGTGATTCAGTGCAGCCTACAGGGTCTGATATCTTGGCAACTGCTGCAAGATATCCCCAATCTGCAGACAAAATAGCCTTTGTGAAGAAGCAGAAGATTGTAGTGTGAAAGTTAATGCATCAAAAGGCCAAAAAGAGGATAATTCACTTTCACCTTGCTTCAGAGGACAAGCAGTAGCAAAATCTGTGCACTATTGGCAAACTTTTTTTGTGCTGTTTTTAACTCAACCCTCAGTTCAGAACTCCAGCCGCCTTGGCAGTGTTCCAGCTGGAGCCACTGACATCTCCCACCTAATCAAGTGCTGGATTATCTTGTCCTGATAAATTGAACCTGGTGCCTCATGAAAAGGCTTTTCTGAAGTACTTTGGTACCCCGTAATAAGATGGCAGATACCTGAATCAAGTCCCAGAGCTGACAGAGCACTGTTTTTTCTAATGGCTTTTGGTTGCAAGGGTAAATGTTTTAAGGCAAGGCAGTGTTGAGCTGGTTAAGCATGATAAATTTCCCACCTGGGTGAAAGGAAACTTGAAAGTATACTGAATACAGGCTCATACTGAGTACACACAGGCTGCACTGCTAACAAAATACACTTGCCCTACAAATTAGTACTTTTTTGGGCAGAGCTCTGAGGAACATGCTTGTTTCAAAAACATATTCTCTTTGGTTGCTGCAGCTTTCTAAGAGTTGGAGTTACTGAGCTATTAGAGACTTGCATACTGTTCTTAGTCTTTTGTGACTCAATCCTTGGTTCAAGTTGTTCAGGGTAAATAAGCTTGCTTCTTTCTTTAACATATATTAAGAAAAATGTCTACAGTACAGACACAAGGGTGCTGTCTATGTTGTGTTTGTACTTCAACAGGTAAAACAGCCAGGATTAATCTCATTAAGATAAAGTTAGTACTTGCAGGCATTTGTTTTTTCTTTCTTGGCTTTCCTCCTGGAGAAAAGCAGTCCTCAGTCAAGAAGCATCTTGTGTGTCACACTCACCTCTGTGATGCCCCTTGTAACACTGCTGTGCTCTTTTCCAGGGGAATCCCTACATGTGCAATAATGAATGTGATGCAAGTACCCAAGAACTGGCTCATCCTCCAGAACTGATGTTCGATCTGGAAGGAAGACATCCCTCCACATTCTGGCAGTCCACAACTTGGAAGGACTATCCGAAGCCTCTTCATGTTAATATTACACTCTCCTGGAACAAAACCATTGAGCTTACAGATAACATAGTTATCACCTTTGAATCTGGCCGTCCAGACCAAATGATCCTGGAGAAATCACTCGACTATGGACGAACGTGGCAGCCCTACCAATACTATGCCACAGACTGCTTAGATGCTTTTCACATGGATCCAAAATCAGTGAGGGATTTATCACAGCACACAGTCCTAGAAATCATTTGCACAGAGGAATACTCTACTGGGTACATGACAAATAGCAAAATAATCCACTTTGAAATCAAAGATAGATTTGCTTTTTTTGCTGGACCTCGGCTTCATAACATGGCTTCTCTTTATGGCCAGCTTGACACCACCAAGAAGTTAAGAGATTTCTTTACCATCACAGATCTGAGGATAAGACTGCTTAGGCCAGCAACTGGTGAAATATATGTAGATGAGCAACACCTGGCACGCTACTTTTATGCAATCTCAGACATAAGGGTATATGGAAGGTAAGAGAATATATAACTTCAGAAACAGGCATGTGTGTTTGATTTGGGAAGGTATTCAAAACTGTTTATTTCCCCAAAGAAGATGATATTTTCTGCCAGTGTTCATTGGAAATCTGGCTCAGCTGAAGGCCATTGCTGTCATACCAGAAGTTTCTGACTCAGTGGCACAAGGTCTGGGTGTTTGCTGGCACTCACCTTGGATCCTGAGCCCCGGGTCTCACAAGCAGGACAGTTCATGTGTTGGCTCAGAAATTCAACCCAGCAGTTGAACACTTTCTTCTCTTTTGTAGTAGGAGTCTGATCCAGTGGCAGTTAACTAAAAACAGAGATTCTGTTTTATCATTTGACCTTTCTAGGCCTCTAATGTAAGCTGTGATTGATACAGCAACCCTTGCACAAACCCCTCCCACTAGGTCTGGCTGTGAGCAAGGAAAGCAGCAGAGATTAGAGCCCATTCCTTCCACTTTAATTAGCTCTGAAATGCAGAGAAGCTGAATTAAAATGGAAAAAAACCCAACAGTGTTTTAGATAGACTGATTTGAATATAACAAAGATGATTATTCAGCTGCATTCAAGACAAATGGTTCCCTCTAGGGCAAGTCGTAGCTGGTATCAAGTGCTGTAGTCCCAAAAATAATAACTGCAGTGACATTCCTATCAGGAAATTTTGTTCCTAGCTCAAACTAGCAATTGACTGATGCCCTCAAGCAGGAGGGTGATCCCTTTGTACAGGTCTCAGATGCCAAGTTGTTCAGAGGAAATACGTGGGATCACCTCTATTAGCAATTCACTTGCCAGTCTAATACACCTTTTGTTCTTTCTCTGTTTCTTCTATACAGGGTTTAAGACTTCCTTTTTAAAAAACATTTTTCTCTAAGAGAATCTAAGTATCAAAACAAACAGAAAAGCTAATTTATCTTGGAAGGCCAGGGACTTTCTTTGCAGACTCAGAACTGATTGAAAAAAATAGTGATCATATAAAGCAGTGCTGACTATATTTTTATTATTCCTATAGTTAAAAACAAAATTATCAAAATGCACTTCTTAGGACTGGAGATTTAACATGCAGTTACAGTCTTCTGTGTCCACATCAACCATGTATCTATACATACATAATTGCTAGTCCAACATTTGAAAATCTAAAATTAATGTTGCTGTTTTAAGAATTCTTCTTGCAATGCTCATTAGTTACATTGTAAATTATTTTTCAGAAGTCTCTTGGGAGGGCTAAGTGGATCATGAACAGCTTAAGATACTGTCTGAAATAGTTTGATAAAATTAGCCTCAATATAAAAAAGTAACACCTATTTAATGTGTATATTTTCTCCACTGGGCTCTCCCACATAGGTTAGCTCTACTGAGGCATCATATCAAAGCTCAGGATTTGGTCCTGAGGCTTTAAGGAAAGCCTGTTCCCTGTCTGAAAATCCATTTGGAGCTTAGTCTGACTTCAATTAGATTATCATTACTTTATCAAAGAAAGCATCTGAAGGATTAAAAAAGAGTGCATTGCATGCAAATTAGAAACAGAAACCTTCTGAGCACATCTGGGGCTCACCAACCTTGTGAAAAATTATCTGTAGAAATGAAGCGTGACTGTACAGAGAACTTATCTGATGCTGATGCTTGTTGTCAAAATGCTGCAGTAATTGGACATGTGCTTTAAAAGAAGTATCTGATGTGTAATAGGACCTCACTAGATTAGATTCATGTGAATTCTTATCACTTTCCTGCTAATGAGAAGAACAGTTCTTTTGGGATTTGGTGCCATTTCCTTCAGTATCTAGTGAGCCTTCCTTGTGAAAATCTTAAGGGTTTGCTTGCTGCTGAGCAGCTGTGGAGCTACAGTACACAGCCCCTGGTTGTTTAGTTGCACGAGTTGTAACTTGCAATAAGCCCACTCTTACCTAGTTCTAGGTATTTTTTGTCTCTTCCAGAAACTTTATGGCCTCTCCCCACCACAGTCTCCCAATCAACATTCCCAGCAAGTGCCCTGGCATGGCCTGAGCATGGGAACCAGTGGAGAGAAGCAAGTTTTACCAGGGTACTTGTGCCACTGTTTCCAGTTCAGCTGAGCTTTCCAGCTCTTGCTCCTTAATTTAGAATTTCAGCTGGAAATTGTTACAATTTTTTTTTTTTTTTTTTGCTACCAAGATTCATATTCTGGGCTTTGAGACCCAGCTATTTATATAAATTTGGTAAGACTAGACTAGATTATTCCATGAAGACAGGATAGAAAGGGAAGTTACCAAGGAGCTTGACATGTAGTGGATGAGGGATGCTGGCAGCCACTTTAAAGCCAGTCCTTTTTCTGAAAAACATAACCTGTAGGTCAAGTATATTTAAAATCACCAACGCTCATAATAGCATATTTCTAAAGGCAGCATAAAATGTAATTTGTTCACACTGTGTTTTAAGCATCAATGACAGTGAAAAGCATCTATCTTAAAGCCAGTATGTTAAATATACAGGACTATGTGGTGGTTAATACTTCACAATGAATTATAGGCAGGAGATTTGCCCACTTAATATAGGTTTGTTTTATCATTGCTTTGCATTTTGGTGTGAAATAAGCCTGATGTATGTTGCATTAGAGATGAAAACCTTTCCTCCTCTATTACCACCTGTTTATTCTTCTTCAATTTACCACTTCCATTGTGTATTTATTAAGGTGATGAAAAAATGGAAACATGGCTGTTAGCAATTTCAGCAACCCCATTGTGCTCCCATTATTCAAGAAACCTAATAATCCACATGAACTAATTCTGACTTACTGATGGTCTGCTTCACTAAATCAGGGTGATTTTTTCTAGTGAATAATGGACGATGCAGTGTGCCAGTACCTTAATTAAAGAGAGCCTCTCTTATTCTTGATCTTATTTTAATTTACAGGGTAATACTACAATAATATCACTAATGGAAGGTACATTAAAGGGCATAAAGTAGCATTAACTGTATTAAATTATGGCACTTGTGTTAATTAACTGCTGAAGCAAGATGGTCCTAACAGCTAGAAAGGTCAACTAATGCATAAATAAAGTCTTCTGGGATGGGAAGCTAAGAAAGAGCAGACATCTTCCCTGCATCTGGCCTTGCTGCAGAGGATCAGAGGGTGTCCTGTGCCACAGCCTCAGGAAGGTTTCTTTCACTGTGCTGCCTTGCAGAAGTGGCCTGACCTGTCTGCAGGCTCTACCTGTGCTCAATTCCACGTGAAGGACAGTCCTGGCAGTAAGCAGTGAGGTACAGCTCCCAGTTTTAAACCTGTTTTTGTAGAAGTTCACTAAAATGCTGATAATAATTCCTTTGAAGTCAAGCTCAAGGTTCCTCGCAGACTTTGGATCAGACTGCTGAAGGTTTAACCATGTTAATTTTAAAGTATTTTTGCTCTGTTATATTGTCAGTGACATGTACATTTATACACTGTAAATTAACTGTAATTTGGGATGCTTGTAAAAACCATGGTCTCAGTGGGTAACAGAATGACTGGCTGGGTAAAACAAAAGCTCTTACTGCTTTTGAATGATTAGGTTTTGATCTAAGAGCCACCAGTTTCTTTCTGACACCAGAATATCCAGTCTCTGCACAATGTTATTAAGCCCTCTGGAATTTATTTTTATACTCTTCTCGCCTTGAAGCTTCTGTGTTTAAGCCCCAGGGTTTTCTGACGGTGTCTCAGCTGCCGTTGCAGTCCCAGCTGCAATAGAAACCTCTAACTCACAACACACAAATGAAAGGTAACCTCAGTTTTAGCAGTTCCTTGCTCTCACATTATCTATTCTAAATTCAAATCCATCTCAGCATCTGAATAAATTAATCTGAAGGAAAATATCTTTGCTACTTAGCGGGTTGGGGCTTTTTTGTCTCCTTGTCAGCCCGCCACTCCTGGCAGCTGTGAGGCTGAACTGCTGCTGAGGCTGTGGTGGATGTGGGCTGGGTGAGGGACCTTGCCCTGAGTGGGAGCTCACCTTGCAGCTTCGGGCAGGAGGTTCCACCAGGCAGGCTGGGCTCTACTGGGTCCCATCCTCTGGTTTATTCTGCAGATGCAGTCTGTGGATGGATTAATTGGAGTAAATCTCTATGTTACTCTGTCATACACTTGGCAACACTGTATGATACTGTCCCTCTGTAATTTACCCAAAAGCAGAACTTAGCCCTAGGGAAGTTATAATCTATACAAATGCTGTAGTTTTATTTTAATAGATAATGTTTTAATTGATGTTCAGCTCAGAACCAGACCATCAATATTAAGATATGTAGGCTTCAAGCTTTTAAGGAGACAACTGAATACCATTCTTGACTCCAGTATTTTTTTACCATACTTGAATACTCTTTGTTTTACAGGAACACTTGCATAAGTAGCTTTTCTCCTTTGAGATTTTCACTAGTATTTGGAGAGAATTTAGCAGTTTCTCTGATTAAATTATAAACTCATTAGAGAACAGGAAAGAAAAAGAAACATGTATTTAAGAGCATGTCAATTGATTGGTAAGTCCCAAGTGCAATTTTTGCTTTTTTAATGTATCTACTGTAATATGTCACTAAGGAAAATGGTCCTTCACTTTCTGTAAGCAAATCTAGGGTCATCAGGAACTGAAATAAATGGTCATGGTGTTTATTCACACATGAGCAGTCTCCAGGAGTTTACTCAGTACAGGTGTCCTGGGTGGGTTTTACTCCTGCCTGTGTTCGGATAATATTGATTTCTACCCTCCATCCTGATGGCACAAGTCCTGTCCATCAGCTCCCTGTGGCCTCAGTCACAGTGGCTGGAAGGGGAGCAGAGCGGTGGAGACTGAATGCTGTCTAGGACCCTCATTCTGCTATATGCTTTTGAAGTCAGTGGGTTTAAATCCCCAGGTTTCACTCACCACCTTTGCTCATTAGCATCTGGTCATCTTTTCTTTTTTGGAAGACATCAAGCATTTCCCTACTGATCTCCCTCAGCTTCTTTCAAGGAAGCTCAGTATCATGCAGGATCAGGGTTATTGAGGAGAGGCACA